TGGTGAGTTTTTTGCTTCTTTTTTCAGTGTTTCAACCCACACGAGTGTTTAGGTCCAATCTTCGCTAATTTTTTGTCTTTTTTCGCTAAACGCTTCATTCCTGGAGTAATTCCACTTGTATGAGTTGAAACAATGAAAAAGAGAAGCAAAATGGAACTCTCCGATCAACCTACTCTCAGCGAACGATTATTCATGCGGAAGCTGGAGATGAGTGCCTGAAATTTATCGAAGATGTAAATAGTTTAAAAATCAGGGATAGAAGTGATGAGTGGACAACGAGGATGATGAAAAAGAAAGGGATCAAATAGTAAAGGAAATTAGGTAAGGTGAAGTAGAACTTTGTAGTACAAGAGCAATTCTTCAACGGTAGGGCTTCGTAGCGCGTTAGCGCAAGGTCTTAATGCAGCCTTACCGCTTCTTACCCACTACTGTCTGATTGCAGCGGGCGCAGTTTGGCTTGCTGGAGGCACGTAATGGTCTTCAGCTACAGGCCATCTTGTGAATACTTGTAAAATTTACCAAAGTGGCCCACCTACCATTTTGCTGTTTCACAGGAATTTACAGGTTTCTCGTTACTTGTTATTGTAGCGAGACCTGTTATTAAAAATGAACTGCAAAAGAAAAGAGAAAGTGCAAAACACCTCCAAATATACGCCGAACGGCGCCTTGCAGCGTAGTAAGGCTAAGAAGCTGGTCACCATTGTGTCATCACTTATCTTCTTCAACCCCTTATGTACATTTAGGTTTTCGAAGCAAACAATTCTTCGGAGAACTCCACGCAAAGTCAGTCAGATTCGCATCAACCCCTCAGAAATGTCTCTTCCTCAGCTTGAAATTGCGTTGCGGAAAAAATTGTTGGAAAAAATGGGTCGCAGGGTAAGAGCTTAGCGTTGTTAGGGATTCACAATATTCTCTATTCGTTCTTGTATCGTTCTACTTGTGCACTCGATATTTCTTCGTTTAGGTAAGGGTATCTCTTGTCGACAAGGAACACGTCAAGTGTGGCATATGCAGTTCTGTGATCTCTATTAATAAGAAGTTTGAAGTGAGTTCTAGTACTATACACAGAGTACAGCATCGTTGTGTGAAACATGGGGCTCGTACTTGACCGCTTGGGGAGTGGGGTCGTATTTGCTCGTTGTTGGGAGAGTGCGGTGTACGATCTGTTCAGAGACTGCCTCGTTGGCGCGAAAAAAAAAAAAAAAAAAAAAAAAAAAAAAAAAAAAAAAAAAAAAAAAAAAAAAAAAAAAAAAAAAAAAAAAAAAAAAAAAAAAAAAAAAAAAAAAAAAAAAACAAAGAACTAAAAAGTTGAAAAATCAGAAAAAAAAAAAACAAAAAAAAAAAAAAAAAAAAAAAAAAAAAAAAAGATGTTTGCGGAAAAAATGGAAAGTTCCGCGTTGTTGACTTTTTGTTGATGTTTTCCCGTTTCATATCGGCTATATATCCGCCGCCCGCTTGGCTCAGTCAAAATTTTTGTTTAGAAAAGTAGCGAAAATTTCCGGGAAGTTTCCGGAAAAATGCACAGTAGTTTCTGATAGTATCATAGGATTCCTGAGTTTCATGGTTTAATATCTTCCGTGTTTTCTTGTTGAATGAAACTCTTCAAGATATTTATTTGGCAACGTTTCGGTAGTAAGTTGTGGGAAAATCCAAGAAATTTCCTCTTTCCACACGTGCTATTTGCCTCCACCTCACATCACGCTACTGTACCCTGACTAGCTGATTTGCTGAATGTTTATAAGCTGATTCTTTCACTTTCTTAGTGCTAATGTGATGAATGTGTTATGTTATGCGAAGCATTCCCCTGTTTTCCGACATTTAGGTCAGATTTTCATCGAAATTTCTAGCCGTATGTAGATTAGGATGAAAGTTCGTTTTTACCTGCAGGACACAAATATGGTATCCACTTTCGCCGCAAGAAACAAAGCAGGCCATGCACTCATAGCACGCCCGAAACCTTAAACGATATCCCACCATATTCAGTGAAAACTTATCCACCGACGTTGACTAAACGCGAACATTCCATCCGTTTGGCACGAAAACTCCTTAGCTTAGCTCCCGGCTCGTGCATTTGTGTCTCGGGTGCTTTTATTCCCCCTAATGGGTGTTTAGACTTCGTTCGAGATTCACAGAGTATGGTGTCTAAAGTGCTCCAATGTCTGTGAATGCATGCCTGCATTTTCGCGTCCAATGAATACGATGTTTGTGATTCGTAGGTAAACGCCCGGAAACAAACTTTCAACTAAAGCTACTCTGTGGGACGAAGTTTGAGAATGAAATTGTTAAGAAATGTGAGGCTCTAGCTCCAATTCCGCAAAGTGAGATCACAAAATGCAAATAGAGAATTGCTGTTAGCAAGAAGTCTTGGCACGCAATCAAATCCAGCTTCCAATAATTTAAGCCCAGTCTTTATGAGCAGGGAAGGAGCTTTCTCAAATAAACAGCTTCGTGTCAATTTACAGTCAAGGGATGAATTATTTCCAGATTGTCCATGTAGTTCGACACTTCAACGCTTGGCATCCCACCAACCATCAATGTGCTGGTCAATGGCAGAAACGAACACAGAGGCCTGGAGTTGGCAAGCCGCTTTCGAAGCAGGTCCTCTACTAGGCTACAATCAGTCTTTTGTCCAAATGACATACAGTACAATTTTTTTCCAGGATTTTGCTGTCATTGACTTATCGCATACTCAGCCTGACAATCTGCAATGTATTTGGTGTGGGATGTTTATAGATGCCACGACCATAGCGGTTCACTTCACGGAATGCCACCCCGGAGAAGTTGAAGTGCCAAAGTGTCTGCTCTGTATTCAGGTATCTTCACTACACACATTAATGAAGATGACGTCTTTCTAGACTTTCTTGTTCGAACGCGCTAACTGTTTTTTTTAATGTCGAACTCTTTTGAAGAAAAGCTTTTCATCAAAATTTACTTTTGGGAATGTTGTTTTTAGATCGTACCCGGTTTCATTTTTACATCCCAATCTAAAGGGTAATCATGCCTGGAAATTACCATAGTTCGTCTTCCAAAGTATCTTGGAACATAGCTTGTTCGCACAGAATTTCCTTAAATCATACTTAGTTTAACTTTTGTGGACCGGCCACTCTTTTTCTGCATTCATTCAATACATTTTTTCTTCAATGGGGTTTGATTGGGTTTATTTGAGAAATCTCGTCAGGAGATTGTTAATCTTCGGTGATATCTGAGCATACAAAGGAGGAATACTGAGCATTCGGGCGAGAGATGAGACGGCGAAATGAAAGAATACATAGAGAAATGAGGTCAATATTCTTCATGGAGCACGTGTGGTGGACGTCTCCTCAGAAAAAGAGGCGTAAAAATTCGCAGATCGCTTGACTACGGCGCGCTTACTGTTCACTTTTAAGTTGCGAGAGTCGCGCCATCTATGAACCTGACTTCCATATACATTGGGAGACTCGATCATTCGAGAGGCATGCTACTTGTTGTGTCAGAGGAAAGAACTCTGATAAAGCTTGATACTGCACATCTCTTGAGAGCGTATTTAAGAGAGGTGAGCGGTAGGGTTGTTCAGTTTGAGTTTAGTTTTGTGTGTGGTATACTCGCCAGATAAACCTTCTGTGCGTATCGTCTTATCGACACTCCCGGAGATAACCAGAAGCCAGGGATCCAACACTACTAAACTAGGTTGTAGTCTCTATTTACACATTCTCCTGTTTTTGCTCAATACTGTAGACAGCCGAGCGCGAAATATATCAAAGAAGCCATTTTTCTTGTAAAATATCCCTTGTGCTAAGTCATTACGTTTTTTCTCCATTTTGTTTTGTGTTCATTTCAGGGGACAGCGTGACGTTAGTTTTTTCAGATGTGAGATATTCTGCGCGCAGTAACTTGTACTTTTTAGGAGCTTGTGATAAACGCACGTGTCATAGAGAAGTTTGGTTCGGACTTTGACATCATTCTTCCTGATGAATTCCACATTAAAGTTGAGAAACTGAACAAGCTGTTTACGTCTG